AAAACAACAGTGCCTAGTCAGGAAAAGTTAAATTATATAACTGGACCAGCCTACTACAACAGAAGTTCATTTTCTCAAAGTGTAAAAATGCCTGTTTTTATGAGCTACTGTTGTATTGTGAATCATGAAAGTCTAGACAATTTACAATACAATTGTATATACCCAAAGGCAAAAAATTGAATCAATAATAATTTCCAATTAATAATATGACATTTAAATAATCTTCCAATAATGCCTAATATTTATTATGGTACTGACCTCACAAACCACCTGACATTCGACTCAACTGCACAATTTCCTTCCAAAGGCAGGCAGGAACATAGAAAGAGTTTAATATATTAGATATTTTATTCTAGACATACCCTTGTACTAAATGCTGTAAAACTGAATGTAGTGCCTGAATCCCTGCTGAAAGGCTGAATGAAAAAGATCTAGTTATCTGCACTTTCTAAGTTCACCATTGTTACAGCTTGAGACTTTCAGATTAGTGGATGCTAATTAACATTACGAAACCACATTAGATCTCAAGATTTTGAATGATTATGGGTATATTCCATTACTGTGATTTTTTCTTTCAGAGCACAATTAATTTATTAAATCTTGTATTGTATTAATGTTACACATTTTAAGTCACTGTTAAGAATCAATCAGCCATTTATTGAGATTATAATGAAACTTTGACCTACCTATACATTACATTATACATTACCTGTAATGTAAATAATAAATGATTGCATTGTAAAATATAAACATGAGTTGGCAACATGGCACGCAGTATACAGTAGCTAGCACTTGTTCTTCATTGATTACAAGCAAAGCACAGTATGTTGTATAAAAATCTAAGAGATTGTTCATTCAGTGGCGACTTGCAAAGCAATATTCATGGAAAAAAATAGCTGCCAATAAACTGAAAGAAATCAAGTGAAGATTTTCTGTTCTGTCAAAAAGGTGTGAGGGATCTTCATCTGGGGTGAGTACTCAGGTTATTGTGATGTACTGCAATCAGTGGAGTACCACAGGAAACTGTACTAGGACCACTATTACCACTTACCTGTATACCAATGATGTAAATTCTGGATTAGGTTGTAAAATAGTTAAGTTTGCATATAATACCAAAATTGGAAGGTCAGTAAACACTGTAGAAACACTAAATTAAATTTAAATGTTTTTAATAAAATTTCACACTGTGAAAAAACCAGACTGATGATAATTAATTTAGACAAGGGCTGAGTATTGTAGGCATATAGTAAAATCATAAACTTAAAACACAAAATGGGGAATACTGAGCTTGAAAAGGCTACTTGTTGTCCCGGTTGGCATCCCTCCCCTAGCGGGCGCTCTAATTGGCTAGGCTTCTGACTTTATTATTATCTGGTGTATCTTGTTTTTGTGCTGTTAGTTAACACTGAGCCTTGGTTGTTTCGGGGCTCAGCACTTGGAAGATGGACTCCCGGAAGCCTGCCTACCAGCGGGTCGAGGAGGTGCATGCTTCATCACAGCGTCCTGACCACTGGGTCCGGTACTCGGCGTCCCCAGTTCCTGTTTCGTGTTACGTTCCTGTTTCGTGTTAAAGTGTCTGTGTCCTGCTTCCCCCTTCCAGGGATTTTATCCTGTGTTTGTCTCAGATGGATTGCCTGGCTCTTCGGATCTTGGACTACCCCCTGACTACCCACCTGGACCTGCCAGGACGGACGTCTAAGGCTGGTTTCCCCTGCACACCGGATCACAAACTGTAACCCCTCAGTGCCTTCACAAAAAAAATTGTGAGTCTTCCCTGGACACTGTCTGTGGTTCTGTTTCCAGATGCACCCCCTCGCATAGGGTCTAAACACCACCCTCCACAGGAGACCAACCCAGCTGCCATAACACTTACTCTGTAAAAAAAGATTTAACCACTTATGTTGACACATCATTTACTGTATACAGTATACAGTAGACAATATCAGAAACATAGACAATGTCAGAAAGCAACATAGAAAACAAACAAAATACTAGGATATATACAGTAGTCAAAAGCTATGTTACTGTACAGTGTGTCAAAATTGCATAATGCACTAAAATGTACTAAGGTCCCATGTAAAATATCATGAACTTTTTGGTCACCACATTACAGAAAATATATTTTCTGTTCTGAATTCCATCCAGAGAAGAGCAACTGGAAACATTTGAGAGCTTAAGGAAAGTTTCCTACACTGACAGGCCAAAGAAGTTGAACACTTTTTCTTGAACAGCGAAGACTATGAGGGAACCTGACACAAGTGTTCAAAATTTTCAGAGAAACTGACACAAATGGAAAGTGGAAGTGCATTTAAAACCAGCAACAGAAGACACATCTTTACCCAAAGTACAGAGAGAATGTGTGATGTTATTGGCTATTGGCTTATTTCAAGATACAACTGGATGGGCTTATTGGAACACTTAACAACTACTAAACGTGTTGATGGGATGAATGACCTCCTTTTGTTGGTATGTTCTTATGGTCAAATCTACTTGCTGTCAACAGAATCATGCACCTTAGTTAAAGAATGACCAGTGATTGTGCAATTTACTTGTTTCATATTTTTGTATGCATGTACATTTTCACAAATGCATATACATTAAACAAAAATACCATCAGAAATATAGACAAATTAACTAAGCAGGAGTTACACTGCATATATTTAACATTAATAGCACACTAATTAGTTGTAGTTCATTAATATTAAGTTGCATACATGGAAGAATAGATATTATATTTATTTTGTCCATTGGTAAATCCTAATACATACAGTATAGAAGTTCAGGATATTGCTCAGGTTTCTCATTAATTTTTTTATTGATGTGTAGTTTTTGCCTAGCTTGTGAAGTACTGTGAAAAGACCACTCTTCACCTCGTTGTTATGCAGTATGATGCTACAGTATGTACTGAGTACAATCTAAATTACCTTGCAGTCTTTATGAAGAATTTTAAAAGCATATCTGGCACACACAGTATGCTTTGTAAAGGCTATTGTAATCCTTAAAACCTAAACATTGTTTTCTGTATCCTATGTGGATTCTCATGAATAATTTACGTGCTGATCTTGTTGTATACATTTTTTAAAACTGTCTTCTAGAGCACTGAGGTCTTATAAAGATTGAGCTAGCAGAGTAGTGGTCTAAATGAGCAAGCTGGGATGGTGATGTCCACAATAGCTTTGTTTATCATATAAACTAAAATAAAACACCACTGTAAGGACTTGAGTGACCAACTGGAATTACAAAGGTTTTGATAAAAAGATAATACTTCCTGTAACTTCTTCTATTTCTTTCACCATCCTCTGCTTGTGAATGTGTTCCAGAATAGCATTTTATCTTAATAAAGACAAACTCTTGCTTTGCTCTGAAAAAGCAATTCAAACAACAATGTTTATCTAATGGGAGCCGGTCCTGACTCCCGTGTAGTGCATATTTAGGACTCTATGCAGATGGTAAAATCCAGAGGAGACTCTGGAAGGGCAACAGGGAAACACAACAGGATCAGGACGGGATGACTGACAGGGGGGTGTGACAGCGGTGTTCTAGTGCTCTGGGGGTGTGTCGCAGGCGAACAATTCCAAAACAATCTGGTTCGGGAAACCAGGTAGCAGTCCAAAAGTCCATAAACGGGAGATCCATCCAAACAAAGACACAGGAAGGGGGACGAGGAATCAGGAACATGGAAGTAAAATCATAAGGGAGCCGAGCCAGGACACCAGGACACCAGGGAATAAGACCTGCCCTCGTGCTACCCTTGTAGCCTTGTAGGCCTTGTAGCATCCATTTTCCAATACTGAGTCCTGAAGCCTGGAGACGCCAAACTTAAGTAGTGAAAGGAAAATAGGAGACAGGTGCACATAACGTTATTTTAGTGAGGAAACTAAAATAGAAAAAAGGTGACAGTGACAGTTAAATTTTTTTAATCTAAAATCAGTACTAAACAATTTGTTTATGAAAAATAATTAAGAAATTAAGTGGAATAATTACGTTTTTCACAGATTCTTTCTTCTTATTATTAATACTGGAAAGGATTGACCCTTTCGTTTTCATTTTTCACTGATAATAAGTTATAGTCTGCACATCTTTAGCTTTTGGAACAATTAATAGTTCTGGTGTTAATGAGCACAGAAAAAAAAGTGTTTAAGTAGGGATGTGAATGTAATATGAATCTGAAGATGCCATATTAATCTAATTTCCAGAATTGACTTCAGAATAAAATGACTTGCCAGTGACACATTTTGAGTTTCAATTTACAACAGCTCCTTATGAGTCAGACTGGGAAGAAATAATCTGAGCTGTGGTACATTTTTAAATCCAGGACTCAGGTGTGAAGTAGCCAAGAAGATTAGGAAACATCATAGCAACTTCTCACAATTTCAATTGTAGATTAGAAAAAATGTGAAGCCAAACAGCATTCCTTAACAACAGACAGTTCTAATACACATCTAAAGCTTTACATGCTACTTCATAACCTTCAGAAGATCTAATGCTATTCATTGTGTATGAGTGTCTATTTTACACCCCTCCCCCAGAAGGAAAACATCACAGGCTACAATAGGTTTTATGATGCTTTTGATGCCTGCCAGCCTACCCTGAAACATGATGGACACAGAGAAATCAATTCGTATACAGCTACTTTTCTCTCCTGCTGATAACCAGGCATGGTTTCTGTATGAATTGAAACTTTGGAAGAAAAAGAAAAAAAAATCTCTTTAAAAAAGGCTTTGGTCATCCAACCTATTCTCTTCCTTTTCTGTATAAACAATCAGCACAAAGCAGGCTTTGAAATTCACAGCAGAGAGTACAGAAAACAGTAAAGAAATAACAGCAAAAATTTAAAAATTTACTTTACTCCACACTCACTGTATGATAACTATTACTAATAGAAAACCTGTGTGGGATTGAAATAAACACACTTTACGTTGTAGTTGCACAAACAGTCCTTAACAGCAAATCCCTACTTAAACACTTCAGTCAACAAATAAATCAATAGGCAGATACAGGACTGCATAGTAAATAAATGATACATTAGCAACCTTTTGAAAATCGAACCACAGCCTAATAACAGTCATAAGTGTCTCGGGCCCTGAGAACCTCTCGTTTTGATCATGACTCACAAGATGCTTGTTAATGTGCTATTCTTTTTTAAGTTTAAGTATCATTATATTTACTGGTTTATTTTTATTTATAGAACACTACTTTGTTAATCTTTGTAGTTGATAATTTTTACTGCAATTCACTTGGATAAAGGGATCAGTTTAATACATAATAGTAAATATTGTAGTTACTGTGTATCAGCACGAGGGTAAAAACAGGAACTTGCAAAGGTATCACCAGTGATATCATTGCTGTTGACACTATTACTTTTTCAATGAAAGCCCATATGAATACAATATCATACTGTTCCTTCTTGAAAACAGACCCAATGAGCATTAAATAATCATTAAGACAAGAGAAATTTTGGCCATGAAAAAAACATTTGATATCCTTCCTAAATGCTTCCATGTGTCAGACATTAAAGCAAAAAGTTCCAAACATCCCATTTCTCTGAAATCTGAGTGCAGCTGTGCTGTTTTTATTCATTTTAAATTCAGTATGATTAATAACAAAAGCAAGTTAAATTTACTAGAATAATTTTACCAAGCATACTATTGCCTGTATACACAATAATCTAGTTTTAGTTTTAGTCCATATGTTTCATAAAACAAGCAACAAATGTGGAATCTATGACTCTATAAAGCAGATCTATAAAAGTGTCTTTTATAGATTTATAGTATAGCAGTTTATTGTAAGAATTTTGATAGTGATATTTTTTTTTTCTTTTTACATTAATTCAGTTTAATGCATAGTGCTTCCATTTATTATTTATTAATTTACTTTAGAATAGAGCAGGGACAATACTGGTCTTCTTCTTTCACCATATCACTTATAGTGAGCTGTCCCATTCAGATTCAAGGTGCACTATAGGCATGGAGCACTGCAGCTGAGGTCCTGTCCTGTCAGCATACTGTCTCTGTCATATTCTCTGATGGTGTAGGGGTCCTCTGGAAGGAGCCTGGGGAAGGTACCAAGTCAATGAACAAGTTGTGTTGCACGGTTCTGCTCATATCCTGTTCGGTTTCTGACAAACTGTTCAAAGAAATTCATACTATTTCTCTGTATTGTCATAGATCTTTGCTGGCTGTTGCTGCACTGTGTGTATAAAGTGTTGACTTGAGATTTGTTATATAGGAATCTAAGCAAGAGTAGATGACATTCGTATGTTCACTATAGGCTCTCACAGGCAGGGGTTGCATATGGGCCTGGTAATACCAGGACAGTACCAGAGGAACGTGGTTAAGTGTTATTAATGTGATGTGATGTGATGGTGGGGCAGGGGGTTAAAATTAGCTGAGATTAAATGATGCATTTCTTGAAGTGTTTCCTGGAAATTCATAATCAAAAGAGCTAGTACCGGCCTTGCTTTGAGACGCTGAACAAAATGGCAATGTCTTAAAACAGAAAGCAAGCCAGAAAGGGAGAATTCCTTTAAGCTCCACTGGGATTAAACCACTTTTATATACTATCTGTGCAATCTATTTGAAAGGAATTATGTTCCCTAAAGAGTTATAATCTGTTCTTTAGTCTGAGGTGCAGACAATTAGATCTATTGTTTTGTGTTGTTACAAGTTACATGAGGATTAACCTGAGTGAAAAGTACTGAATTCGAGTGCTTTTTACCATTTCAGTGATTTTTTGTTTAATTGAGAAACTTCTTGCATTAAAAGAATCTATGTTTTAACCCCAATATGACTTAGATAAGGTCCTTGCCAGTATAATTTTTTGTTTTTAAGAGTGACCTTTTACTACTCGTTCATGATCAGAAAGGTTTTGCCACTTTTTATTACATTTATCATAAAATGTTTTTATGATAGAAACTCTATTAAATGTTTGTCAAAAATTTCCAGGTGAATAATATTCTCAGAAATATCTGCAATATACTGTATATATATTTTAAAAGAACATCCTTCTTTTTTTTACTGTGCAACGCAAAAATAAAGTCAGATGTATGACAATAGTAGTGGCTTCTTTTTATGTAGGAATACAGCCTTAACTTAATGCATTTTATTATGCTTTTTGTTTAATCTTGCTGTTTCTCAGCTGTATAACCTGATTTGCTGTGATTTTTACTGTAAGTCTCTGGAATACCACTGCGATAGCATGTGCAGCAGTGCCTCACAGCCATTCAACCTCTTGTGAGTAATTCTTTTTCATCAGCAGGTGACAAACTCACACCAATTAAGTCTCCAGAAACCAAGGAGTGTGGAGGCAGCATCTTTCCTTTCCAAGGGTACATGACTCCCTTTGATTTTTGTTTCCTTCTGACAAAAATAAAGCTATCCGTATTCCAGTGTGAACTGTACAGATTATAAAGCACAATACATTTGAATATTTTAAAACTCTAATACACATCCACACATTTTATAAACTGCTTTATCCAGTACAGAGGGCTTGTTGGTTTGGCTTCTCAGCTCTGTCGCTGTTAAGTAAGCTTGTTGTCAGGTGCTCTTTTTGATTCAATGTCATTATGCGGTCATTGAGAAAGCAATTCTGTGACTTGAGACAACTGAGCTTTATAAGAGCACATTTATTCATTAACATCTGTATCACATTGACTTAATTTCTTCATTTTATCAGATTATTCCATTTGAAAATGACTAGCTGCTAAACCTCTCACTACTTAACTGCCAGCTGGATAAAATAGCACTGCTTTCTGAAATCCCCCTCTGTGTGTCAATTCTAATAACTCAAATATAAACAGAAGCACAACTGAAAACTTGTTTTGAGTTTTAGTCTCTTCGCTAACACTACTGTTTTTTTTTCAGGTCTGAATGTAATGTTGGATACACTTAGAAGATGGGTGGATGGTACAGGTAATGTACAGTATATACATATTTTAAAAGTGAATATTTTAATCAAAATCTAAATGCCAAACCAGAAAATTTTATTGTTTTTTTGCAGGTATTTAACTTCTTTTACCTTAAAAATATTTTTTGATTATTCAAGCTTTGATTTAAGATATTCACTTTAAAAAATGTGTGTACACACAATTAAAAAATAGGACATTATTGAAAGGGGGTAAATAATTTAGTAATTTATTGCATTGAGAGAAATTAATAATTGCTGCATTGGCAGGTATTTATATAAAACATGCCCCATACTGTATGTTATTGCCTGGAGCATTTAATTGTGCACATTTCTATAACTAATTAAAAAGAGTGTGAAGTTTTTAACCATAGGCTTTAACAAAATCCTTGGTTTGTCTGTAGGCCACAGCAAAGATCTCATTCGAAGACCTTGAGGATAATATACATGATGTGTTTTATCTACCAGTATATGGACTTTATTCACATGTAATATCTATAAGTCACTCTCTTGTCTTTGCCATGTTTGAGCATCAATAACAGATCAAGACATTTGTCAATCCTAGTCAGATATGTAAACTGGCAAAATTAAAAATAATATGCATAGGAAAGTGCAGTTCAGTAATGGATTACTATGAAGGAATAGGCAGTTGGAACAAATTGTACACAGTGTCACAATTTTACAGTTTCCTGTTTGTAAAGCAACTAGTTCTGCTCTGTAGGCCAAAGAAATGAAGTGCTGTTGGTAATCTCTTCATAATTTATATATGGAATAATTCTTTACTGTGCTGTGAATTATCACAGAATCATAAACAGAGCATAAATAATTGAGTGCTATTTCTGTCTGTAGTGTATACTGTAGCTGTATATGTAAATTCAGCATACAGAGAACATTCCCATTTGTAAACTTCCTCTCTTTTACCATTAATGTGTCTTGTATGTTATCAATTGGGAAATATGGTTCAAGTCAATTTTATATATTCTGCAAAATGACTACCATTACCTTATTGTGGTTTTCATATTCTGCCAAAAAGATTCTGTTTTAGTCTGTTTTAGCACAGATTTAGTTTTATTCTTGAATTATTTATTAGTAAAGTAACGGGGCTGCATGCTTGAAAACACTACACCTATTGGAAGAGTAAGGCACACTGGCATACAAAGCAGAAGATAAGAATGCATTACATTAAATAATACATTAAACAAAAAAAGCCTTAGGCTCTACTTGTGAAATTCTGTTTTATAATGATGGATGAATGTCCTTTCTTTAGCAAATATAGAATCCTAATACAATAACCAAAATTACCTTGGGTGACTTTTGTGTCTGTTACATGTGTAAATTTTAAAGAAATGTATCCATCCATTATCAGATGGCTAGTTCGGGTAATCGTCATGGTAACCCTGGAATCAGAGAGTAAAAGGTGGAACTACAGTCGGCACAGGATGCCAGCCCATTGAAAAGAAACACAGAAACACTCAGGGACAGTTTAGAGATACAGATTAACCTGGGCTCTAACCACCACACCAAATTACCATCAATGTTCAAGGTATTTCACTTGAGCTCAGTATCTCAGCCACAAGGGATTTATCAGGGTGGTCAAATTAAAATGAATCTTGTTTTCATTTAGCCCAATCAAAGAACTGACACCGATACTGAGTCTGGACATAGACCAAAGTGAAAAACCAGAAGTAGCCAAGAACAGCAACGTGATTCCAAAGTTTCTGAGTGTTTATTTTCTGTCTTTGTCCCTCACTTTTATCAAAGAGGTAATTCACAATAGCATTGCAGTGCTCAGCATTCCTAAGGTCAGGGCCTTGCTGTATTAACTCGTGAAACAGAATGAAGTTACTCTCTCAAGGCTCAAAAATTCCTCTGTCATCCTGTTATTTTATTAACTGTATCTGTAAAGAGTTATACTTCTCCTTGGTACACATTGTCTGGAAGTTAGCCACAGTGCCTGCTGAGCTAGAATCCTAAGCCAAACATTCAAAGACATGATCTCACCCTTACCACACTTATCCACAGGACTGTCTCCAGTGCTTTACTTAAAATGTACCCCACAAGCTTTAGAGAGCTTTACCAACATGGTCTTTGGCTCAAATTAAAAGTACCAATCCCCGAAGCTTCTATCTGAGGTTTAGATTTACACAACATAGTATCAAGTAAACATTTTGCTAACACTGAAAAATAAATTAGGAAACTGTCATAGCCTGCTTTTTCCTGTTTATACACTAAATCTGGAAACATGCCATTTAACAAGTGATCCTGTTAATACTGAATGTATCAGGCAGCTTTAAGTGCATTTAGTGCATAACTGCATTTTGTGATAGCATGGGTTAATGCATCAGAGCTACTAATATATAGTAGTTTCTGTTTATTTTACTTCTGTTATAATTATAAGAAAAAGAATAACAATAACAATAATGGTGGTAGAAGGATAAAGCAAAATGAAAGAAAATTATTTTTCCATATAAAAATATTCTCTCTAAAAGCCGTGCAGTGGTTTCTTTAGTGCTGTGTTGTCTTTTACAAATCTAGTGCTCCCCTCAGGGACTGACATAGTTACACAGTGGATCAAAGTGAGACACTGGCCAATCTTGTGTTTGGCTGCAGCACAAAGAGAACGTTTGGGTCAGAATAAAAAACCATGCCTTGCATGTGCAAATTGTCTGACTTTAGCCACTAGTAGCTCATAGTATGTTTTTTTTTCTCCATTCAGGGGTTGAAAGCAATTTAAGAAAAATTACTGAATACATATTATATAACTGCATATTAAAATTCCAGATTTAAATTGTTTCTGGTCATAAGAACATAGGTGTTTTCACGTTTAAAGTATATTTATGATACCTCACACCTGTAGATACTGTATGTATTTGGAAACAAGCAATTACACAAATGTTTGGTGTTCTTAGTTTCCCAGTTTAAATCAATTTAAACTAGAATATTTTACTGTTTACCCTAACAAATGCATATTCCCCTACATATAGTGCCTTGCAGAAGTATTCACTCCCCTTGAACCTTTTCACATTTTATTGTGTTACAATATGGAAACATGATGTATTTAACTGAGATTTTTTTCCACTCATCAACGCAAAGTACTCTGTAATGTCATAGTGAAAATAAAATCCAGACATTTTACTAAATTAATTTAAAAAAAAAAACAGAAAATACTTGAATGCATCCAATTCACCCCCTTGCTTTGACACACCTAAATTACCTCTGAAGTAACCAATTCTTGACTGGAGTCCACCTGTGTGCATTTGAGGGGTTTCACATGATTTCAGAATAAATGCACCAATCTTTTTTAACTCTTGTCTTAATGAGTAAAGTGTAATCTCAGAAGTCATCATCACCCTGTGTTCATTTTTTGCCTGTCCTTATATTCTTGATACAATCTATATTTAAAACCAAGCCAATCTTTTTATTAGAGCTTCTTGTCCTAAATTCTATCTATATGAACCTATATGTTCTTGTTTTTTTTTTCTTCTACTTCTTATTGTACTTTTTTGTCTATTTCTTTATCACTATGTACACTGTCCTTAGGTTTGTAAGGGTGCTTTACAAATAAAAAGTTGTTAATTATTATCCCTTTTCAAAATTGCAGGAATGCTTGGACCACAGAAATATCCAACCAGCCCAACCAGAGATGCCCAGGCCAAATCCCCAAAATCTCTGAGTTGACTGATTCATCTCCAGTCCCTTATCAGGCAATTATCATACTTGAAATTGTGTTTTGAGTGCTTTTGAAATAAATAAAAACAAGAGAAACAGAGGTGATTTGCCTGGCTAAAGATATAGAAGATGATAGCTGAACAGGATCCTAGGAGTCAATTGTACCAGAAAAAAGTGTATCAGAAGAAACAGAAAAGTGTAAAAATTCACAACAATAAGCCCCATAATTTCCCCCTACAATTCACTGTGTTATTGTAACATTGAAAAGGGGTCCACTAAGTGCTGAGTTAGAGTGTTGTAAGGCTGGAGCAAAGTGTCAGGACACCGATGGTTATACAAAAAGACAATAAAGCTTCCTGCGTGATGTCTCTGAGGGACTGGCAACTTTCAGGACAGTTATTACTTGACTAAACCCTTCATTTCAACTTTTTATAAAATTCCAGATTCTCCCAAGATGTTTCATTGTTTCTTCATGTTTCCTGTGTGCTATATACAGTAGGTCTTGGAACAATACAGCAAACTTAAACAAATTACACAGCAAGGCTGGATTTGTGATTTACAGTACTTAAACAATGATACCTGCAATGATAAGACATTTTGAATTTGTTTTATACATAAATCCACAAATACGTAAAGTGTAGTGAGCCTCTGTTAGATTTAGGTGTTGTTCTTTCCCGAGAGTACCTGAACCACCTCTCAGTTGCACATGGTTTTGTATGCTAGTGAATTCTGTTACCTCTTGCCTTTTTTTACTGAAGAAGATGTAAGTTTTTGTGTGTTAATGTTAGTATATTTTTTATTATTAATGTATATATTTTTCATGAATGAACTCTGTGTTTTGAGAAGGCTGTTTTGCTTATGAAAAAACATCAAGTATTTTTTTATAAATTAGTCTTAAAAAGACAGACAACATTCTCAAAGCACAGTCAAAAATGAAAATTAAAACACATTCCTTTGTGCTTAGATAAACACGATCTGTCTGTCTTAGTGATAAAAGCCATAATTTATTTCTCATATCTCAACTGAAGAGCTATTGTTATATCTGGTTTACATAATGAGTCATAAATTCAACTCTCGATTAAGAGGTGAAACTGCCTCTAGCAGAATGTCTGCAACAATGTAGCCCTCTGCACGATTAAAAACACTATTGCACACTGCACAGTGAAGTCCACATGGCAATGCATTGCAGAGGTAAAGCAAATTATCCGGTCTCTATAAATGGGATTTTTTGCCTCCCATCATGATTTAGCTCTCATATAAACACACCAAAGATGTGCTTCTAATTGGCTAATGAGACTAGTGACATTCTTAACCATTAATCCAACCAGCTCAACATGCATCCCCTTCTAGTGATTTCACATGCTCATATACTGTGCAGCAATCCAGCTATTACAATCCAGCTCTCTCTGTCCCTTGGATACATGACCACACCCACTAGAAAAAGAACAGCCATTCCTTCAAAACAAGAAGAAAGTAATTGGCTTCAAGATTTGTTGCAGGCTAGCTTAATACAGTATGTTATCACTCTCTTCAATTTGTAAGCATTTACAGGTAACCCTTTCAATGTCCTCTTGGAACAGTGAAAAGGGTCACTGGTTAGTATATACACTATAAGGAAGTCAGACGTGAAAATTATGTGGGGAAGTAATTCAGTGAAGGAAGCCAATTGTGTATACATACATGTAGAGCACCCAAGTACAGATAGGTTGGTTAGAATAAACATCTTCCTGGAATGTGGCCTAAGGCCATTGCTTATATTAAGTCACTAATGAATGTCAGATTAAAGATATTTTATCTCAGGGCACAGTCCTGAGATAAAATCCATCACAATTTATGTGAACAATGGAGAAAAGTGTGCAATAAAGGAATAAAATTAAATACTAAAATCAATTTAATATGCATTTGCATCATACAGTCTCTGAGGTACACATACTACTGCAACATACTTTCACCCATGCGCCACTTTCCCTGCAACACACTCACATGTGAGTTTGAAAAAGGAAACCAGAAAGCTCCACTCCTGAAATCTTTGGCTTTTATCTTTTAAGGCCTTTATTTGATTCACTAAAAACTCATATCGTCAAGAAGCTAACAACTTCTATACAGTACTTCTTCTTTAGTTTAAGTAAAATAAAAGGTAATTGTAACTTCATCATTTGGTAAAGACAAGAACTCTGCACCTAATAGTCCAGTAATTAGTTCTTCTTCAGTTCTTCTTTGTAAAGATTACTTTAAGGAAGCACGCACTGGAGGGACTGATTGACCAAGCCTGATCACAAACATGTGTGGAATGTCCCAGACCCACTGCAGGCATGTACACACTCTACTTCAGGGTGGTACTGAAAGGTAGGGAAAGGCCAAGTGAACTGGCCTAAATCATCTAGATTCAAACAAATAGTGAAGAAGTACTATGAAAACTGAGAACAGGAAGCATATCTTTACGTACAGTAAAAGGCCTTGAGAGTTGGGAATCTGCTAACCAGACGTGTTGTTGAAGGAAATATCTTGGCATCTCTCAAGAACCAGCAGGATAAGATCCATCCTATAGTTACTATATAAGCTAGTTGGTCTTGTCTCATTTGCGCTTTCTTTTGCAATTTCACATGTAATCATACCATTATTGTGCATTTTCATCTATGGTTTAACTTTGATAGCCAAACCTTTTTTTGATTGATACAGTATGTCAAGCTGCAGCTGTAATGTTACGTGGTTTTGTACTTTTTGAGGCTGTAGGAAAGTGTGGTTGCTATTTCTTTATATACCCCTGTTGATGTTGTGGGAGAATTACCTCCTGTACAGTTATACCCTGACCAGGTATCATCATCATCATCTTTTTCTTTTTCTTCTTCTGCATATTTCTTCTGTAGAAAATAAACAGATCGTCATTGTCATCTTCATGCATAGCTAAGTTGTGAAAATATTGTAGTACACTAAATTTGTTTGCTGTTCAGAGATCTTCATTCTTGGTGCTCTTTGGTTGGAAAGTGCCATGTGTGATTCTAATTGATGCAATATGAATTTTGGTGATGAGCTAGTGGATAGAAGATTTGCAATTCTACATCAAATTGTATATACTACAGATCAGGTATATGGCAGATTCAATGTTTAATATTGTGCTTACCTCTTTCTCTGTGGAGCAATCTTGCTACTTAACTTTGAATTAATGAATTTGCAAATCAAGTGCTTTCTAAGTGTGAATTCTCAGATCTTGTAGAGCAGCATTCCAACTTTTAAAGCTTTCTTAATGAGGGGATTCAGTGTCATCATAAGCTCCAGCTGTGATTATGCATTATCTTTAATGACTATCATCCTGTCTTCTTCATCCAAGTCAGATCCTGAATCGACTTCTTTCTCTCATAAATGAACTTTATCCGGAACGTCTACAAGATGCTTGGTGTACATCTGCCACAGATGAATGAAATGTACAAAATAGAGTTGCTGTTTGTGAAGTATGAACTTTCCCTCTTTCCCATAATGGAGGCTACATCAGTTGTTTCTCACACTTGCTTTGTCTTTAATCATTGAAAGACCATGAGCTGAGATGTTTATTGTTGATTAGTACTATTATCAAGTATTGCATAAATTTAACAAATTTCCAACTTTATTAATTTACTCATCATACACATTGACAGTCATGTAGGTTCTTCTAAGCAATGATGTATACTTGGTGTCTCCATCCGTGGTCCGGGAAAGACCAGATCATCTTTAATCGCCAATTTCTAGACTTGGAAAAAACTCATTATCAGATCATAATGTAATAAATTAAGTAATTAAGAGATTATTCCAGACTACAGCCTTTAAGGACCTCAAGTTAATAATAACCTCTTATGCAAACTGGTCACTATATATTGTGCAATATATGCTTGTGGATAATGTGCAATATATTTATACTGTGCGATACATCTTCTTGTGTACTGTACATTCTGGTTTGTGTTTGTATATTCTGTACTATGTGCAATTCTCTACACTCCATTTTTATTGTACTTCTCACTGACTGTACTTACTGTATTGTAATGTTTCAGTATTATATGAGTACAGTACATTACACCGTACTGCATTGACTGTGCTTAGCTGCTCACGGGATTAATAAAGTATGATAATAAAGGTGATCTCTAAGATAAACCAGCTTGGGACTCTCCAGGCCAGGCTTCAGTTAAAAGTCAGATGAAATCTTTTCCTCCCTTCTTTCCTCTAAGTGGCTTTTCCTGTGCCATGTTGTGTATTTTATTTCTATAGCCAACCACTAACTTCTGAACAACTGTAGGTGATTTTGACATTTCAGGAAAACAATCTGGCCTTCACTGTTTCATGAAAATCTGGCAATGAACAGTGCAAAACACTCTGAATGATGATCCATTTCAGGCAGTCATTTTCAATAATGTAACTCCAAGTGATTCACTCATATTATGGTCACTGTAATCAATGTTAACTCCCAGTCAGTAGACTCAGCTTTTAATGCGTCTTCTCTAGCCACACCTATAGGTACCTCTTCTAGATCTGCTCTGTGAACTGACTTAATATGGAGATGAAGCAAACTTGTAGAACCCTGATGTTTTCAGGATATTTTTTACAATTCTTTCATTTAGCAGATTTTCTCAAAAGAAGTAGAACAAAACCAGGTTTGATTTGTAGCATTTTTCTTAGTACTTCTCATATCGAGGATCATTCCAACTTTAAACTTTGATTAGCAGTCGAATTCCTGCTTTAAATCTTCCTGATACTGTACACTATAGCATTCAAACATTCGCTGTAAGTTTGAGCATGAATTTAAAAAATACTTATATTAACACTGTCGACCACAGTCTTACACCTATCTTAAATTCAGTTTCCTTAAAAGTATAGACTTACCATATGTTGGATAGCTTTCTATAGTCATAGTAGATTTATGCAGTATGATTGTATAGATTACATTTAATAGACATTTAATAGATCAAATACAATCACAACATAATATGTTAAATAGTATTCAAATGTCTTAAACGAATGCGCATCTATCTCTTCTTCCCTTGATTAAAATGAACATATACTGAACCTAATTGATAGAAATGTATGTTTTATGGTCTCACGGATGAAATAGCAAATCTCCATTTATGGA